ATGATTCTTGATCCTGTTTGTTAAAAATTCCTAGTCTTGGTTTCGATTTTTCCAGACATATCATAAATCCTTTACATATAATATACTAAGTAGTGGACAAACAAAACAAAAAAGAGAGGAAATTTTATTAATTAAATAAGACTTCTTCAATTAACTTATCTTATACAAAATTTGATGATGAAATATGAAAACAATAAAAAAGAAATAGAGTAATGTAATAGAGAGAGTAAGGTTCTACATTAGATTAGTATAGAAAGGATTTGCACGATATCTAATATATTATAGCAGCCAAGAAATTGAGTGATTCCTTCTTTCTTCCAACTTTGAAAGTACCGATAAATACTATCATAGAAAAAGAAGAGGTGGTCCGAATAGTGAATTTTTCAAAAACATGATCAGAAAAATGAGAAAAATGGAGTTTTTGAAAAGAAAAAGAAATCCATTTTATCATTTAGATGAAAAAAATATTATGATTCTTAAGAACTCAACGGGCCCTTCCCCTTCGAATCAAACAAACAAAGAAGGGAATCCCGTTGAGTTCTTACGCTTTCATGTTGACGACTCAATTCAATAAACAAATGAGTTAGTAATAGATGTAAGGATCAACTCAATTACACAACTCTCTAGGCCCCACGGTAGGCGCCAAACTATTTAACCGTAAAATAGTACAGTTGAATTTATACGTGATTTATAGACAAGTGAATCGATTTGATCCCAAAATAATAAATAAATTAAACAAGAATATAAGACTTAGCATTGAAATCGAGATAAGACAGTAGCAATCTTAATTCCAGGAGCAGAGCTTCCGGAGGCAGTAGTAATAGTGTTAATAACCAAGAAGATAAAATATTATTGAGCTCTTGAGCAAAGTATATTATCAGCTTGTCAGAAAATTCCTCCCCTTAAAATGGTTGTTGAGTTCTCTATTTATAGTGGTGCCTAGGGAACAAGGTCCTAGAATCAAGCCCTTCTTAAATGACAATTATGAGGGCCATTGAAGAATGTGTAATGGTAGGCAGTGAATGCCATATTCTTTGTAACGGACTGTGTACTTAATGCTATAATATATTCTCCATTAAATGCTACCGGGTGGCAAGCATTTATTTCGCCTTCATGAACACCACTCTATTCGGGAACAAACAAGATCATTGCTTTCTAACCCTGTTAACTTCTGTTTTCGGCTCCACGTGTCGCTTTATCATGCAAGCATTTAATATGAACATATTTTACCATATACAAACAGCTGATTAACGAATTAAAATTTTATAATTAACGGCTTAACAGTTTGGGGGCGGATTACTCAATTTCCTTATCAGATAAACCGTTAACCCGTTAAGAATTTTATTTTTATACTTTTACCCCTTTATATATAAAGTAATTTTTGAAACCCTAAGGCCTAAAATCTAAATCCCTAATTTATCACATCTCAATAGAAATTGTGCTGTATTTTTTGCCTAGAAGATGGAGTGGATTCTGCATTCACTTCAAATTCAACTCAAACCCTTCTGGAACTGTGCATTAGGCAAGATCATCTAGGAGGTTAAACTTATTAATCAAGAAGGCAGGAAGATAATTCTAGATGAGGGCCATGAGCTTCCCAAATCAATCAAGTAGAATCATGTTAACGAGTTGATTATATGAGTTTGGCTTTGCAAGCTAAATCTGACATTCCCTCAGAGCTGGTTTAAGTGGAAAGAGAGATAGCAGAAACATATCAAGTATTTCCTCCCTTATTTGTTTTTTGATAGCTGGACTTGCTAGCTAAAAGGGAGAATACACAATAATGATAGATGATATCTGTAGATAACTTGAGTTCAAATGTTGGTACCGATTCAAACTAGTTTTCTGACATATTAGACTTTAATTACTAGCACTTACCAGGTTAGTTGAAATAATGCTTAGTTTCTTACGGTTGAGCTCGTTGCAATTTCCAACAAGAAATCAAAGGGTGGGGTAAAAAGAAATTGTCGTCTGTTTTTATAATCTAGCACATGATTTCTGTGGGAAAATGATATATTTTATAGTTCTCTGCTTCTCTTTGATTGTCTATTTGGTTTAGCCGATAAACAGCTCGATAACCGTTCGCTAATCCGATGCCAACCTCCCCGATGTCTTATTGGATGGCTAGCGGATTACTACATTTACAAATCGATAACTGATAAGCCGAACCGTTAAGTATAAATAATTGCCTGCTCCGCACGATAAGCACCCCTACATACAACTTTTCTACCGTAATTCTCTAACGAGTTAATAAAGATTAACCTTTTATAATAATTTTGACTATCGTTAATGTATTTAAAAAAACAAAAAATTATCTACTATACAATTGTAGTAATAGATTTGAATGTTCTATATTAAGATGTTCTTATTGTTGCGATTTGTTATTTATTTACTTTTTTTAATTTTCACAAAATGTTGCATACGCCACTGCTAGTTGGAACACACTATTTTTAAAAACTACAACAACAACAACATACCCAGTATTATCCCACGCCATGGGGTCTGGGGAGGGTAGTGTGTACGCAGATTTTACCCCTACCTTTGTGAAGGTAGAGAGACTGTTTCCAATAGACCATCGGCTAAGGAAAACATAAGCACCACATTAATTAAGAGATAGACAAGGAGGGACAATACCCAAAAACCATGTAAAAACATCATAAAAACAACATGATAATAAGATGATCAAAATGAAAGAAAACGACGGATAGTCAAAGAAACCTACTACCAATAGAATGCGAGAGTATGTACTAATACTACCGGTATGAACAATCTAGACAACCTACCCTAATCCTCGACCTCCACACCTTCCTATCAAGGGTCATGTCCTCGGTCAGCTGAAGTTGCGCCATGTTTTGCCTAATCACCTCTCCCTACTTCTTTTTCGGCCTACCTCTACCTATCCGTAGGCCCTCCAATGTCAACCTCTCACACCTCCTCACTGGGGAATCTATGCTTCTCCTCCTCACATGTCCAAACCACCTAAGCCTCGCTTCCCACATTTTGTCCTCAACAGGGGCCACACCCACCTTGTCGCGAATAACCTCATTCCTAATCCTATATAACCTGGTGTGCCTGCACATCCATCTTAATATCCTCATCTCTGTTACCTTCATCTTTTGGACATGGGCGATCTTCACAGACCAACACTCAGCCCCATACAACATAGTCGGCCTGACCACCATTCTGTAGAACTTATCTTTAAGTTTGGATGGCACCTTCTTGTCACATAAAACACCAGAAGTGAGTCTCCATTTCATCCATTCTGCCCCAATATGAAATGTGATATCTTCATCAATCTCCCCATCCCCCTGAATGATAGACCCAAGGTGGTTAAAACTCCCTCTCCTAGGAATGACTTGCGAGTCCAGCTTCACCTCCCCTTCCCCTCCCTGAGTCTCACCACTAAACTTACACTCTAAGTATTCTGTCTTGGTCCTGCTCAGCTTGAAACCTTTAGACTCCAGGGTCTTCCTCCACACCTCTAACCTGGTATTCACACCGCCTCGCGTCTCGTCAATCAATACAATATCATCTGCAAATAACATACACCACGGCACCTCTCCTTGGATGTGGCGCGTCAGAACGTCCATCGCTAGGGCAAACAAAAAAGGGTTGAGTGCCGACCCCTAGTGCAACCCAATCATGACCGAAAAATGGTCTGAGTCCCCTCCCACCATCCTCGCTGGGGTCTTTTCTCCATCATACATGTCCCGAATCATCCTAATGTAGGCAACAAGTACACCTCTAGCCTCCAAACATCTCCACAAAACCTTCCTCGGGATATTATTGTACGCCTTTTCTAAGTCGATGAACACCATATGTTAGTCCCTCTTCCTATCCCTATACTGCTCCATTTCCCTCTTCCTATCCCTATACTGCTCCATCAAACTCCTAACAATGTGAATGGCCTCTGTAGTCAAGCACCTCGGCATAAACCCGAAGTGGTTCTCGGAAATAGACACACTCCTCCTCACCCTTAGCTTCACCACCCTTTCCAAGACTTTCATAGTATGGCTAAGCAGCTTGATACCCCGATAGTTATTGTAATTTCGGATATCACCCTTTTCTTGTATAAAGGAACCATTGTGCTCCACATCCACTTCTCGGGCATCTTATTCGTTCTAAAGATGGCATTAAATAACCTAGTGAGCCACTCCAAGCCCACCTTGCCCACACTTTTCCAAAACTCCACCGGGATTTCATCCAGCCCGATCGCTTTGCCCCTGCTTATCTTACGCATTTCCCCCTCAACCTCCTCAACTCTACTCTGCATACAATACCCAAAGTCGCAACGGCTCCCGAAAAATTCCAAATCACCCAATACAATGTTCCTGTGCCCATCCTCGTTCAAGAGACTATGGAAGTAGGTCTGCCATCTCCGATGGATAAGCCCCCATCCAACAAAACTCTACCTTCTTCGTCCTTGATGCACTTCACTTGATCCAAGTCACGAGCCTTCCTTTCTATCATCTTGGCTAACCTGAACAACCTCTTATCCCCACCTCGGCCCTCGAGTTCTTCATACAAACGACCAAAAGTTGTAGTCTTGGCCGCCGTAACTGCTAATTTCGCCTCCTTCTTAGCTAACTTATATTGCTCCTTATTCACCATTCTCTCCTCCTCATCTACACTTTCTACTAGCTTTAGATATGTCACTTTCTTGGTCTTCACTTTTCCTTGCACCTCTCCATTACACCACCAGTCTTCTCTGTGTCCACCAGAGTAACCTTTCGAGATCCCTAATACCTCTCTAGTGACTTCCCTAATGCACCGCGCAGTCGAGGTACACATAACACTTGCATCCCCGCTACTCCTCCAAGCCCCCTAGTCATCAACTTAACTACCAACTCATGCGCTTTAGCTTCTGTCAAGGCTCCCCACTTGATCCTTGGTTGGCTATACACCGCCCTCTTCCTTCTCTTCCTCGTGATCTCAAGGTCCATGACCAGGAGCCTATGAAGGGTCGTGAGGTTCTCACTCGGGATGACTTTGCAATCCATTCAAAGACCTCTATCGGACTTCTTGCAAAGACGATAATAAATTTGAGTCATGGCCACCGAGCTCCGGAAGGTTACCAAGTATTCCACCTTCTTCGGGAAACTCGAGTTTGCTATCACCAAATCAAACGCTTTAGCAAAGTCTAACAGAGAAGTTCCTCCTCCGTTCCTATCTCCAAAACCGAAACCACCATGCACATCATCATACCCCCAAGACGTCGCTCCAATATGGCCGTTGAAATCTCCTCTTATGAAAAGATTCTCAGTATGCGGGATACCACACACTATCTCATCCAAATCCTCCCATAAACGCCTTTTGAATTCCTCGTCCAAGACTGCTTAAGGTGCGTACGCACTGATTATGTTTGAAATAAATCCTCCAACAACTATCTTAATAGTCATCAGCCTGTCGTTCACCCTCCTAACCTCCACCACTAGATCACAGAGGTCCTCATCAACCAAGATACCTACCCAGTTCCTGCCCCTCGCCCTCCCAGAATACCATAGTTTGAACTTACCCACATCCCGCGCCTTGTCTCCTACCCATCTAGTCTCTTGTATACAAACTATATTAATTTTCCTTTTTTCGAGAATTCTCGCTAACTCTATAGACTTTCCAGTCAAAGTTCCTATGTTCCAAGACCTCATTCTCAATCTGGAAGCTCCCTTAGCCCTCTTATGTCCTTACCCCCTCCCCTGCCAGGACACCCCCGAGGACAAGACCTTACCCTACCATCGTTCACCAAAACCATTATAATCTAAGAGACATTACGCAAACACTACTCCGAAAACAAGCGACAAAAATAAAATGAATAATCTAAATATAATCTCCAACTAATATTGACAAAAAACAACTAGAGGTCACAGATAAAATGGGCAAAGCTACTATGGGATATACTAAATAAAGATTCAAAAGACAACTATAAACAGGTAGAGAGCAATATAAAACACGTAGGCAAAGCTATCACTAGTGCAACTAATTTGACACTGCTAGGGCCAACACTTAAGTAAAGATTCAAGAACAAAAATGGAAGAGACAATTAATCTATAATATCAAAGTATCAAAATAACAGGACAAGATGATACAATTTAGCTAGAATATCAAAATCAAAATACCAGGATAAGAGAGGAGCGATAGGATGACAGCCCCTGAAGTTGACGAAATTTGACCGGCGAGGATGGGTCGCGACGAACTGGCTGGAAGGGACAATCCAAGACACCTGGAGCGGTCGTTCTTGAGCTTCGATCACTGAGAGGAGACGCACACGCCGTAAAATCACCTGGCAAGAATCTCATGCGTCGGCGCGTGACGGGATCTACGCCTGGTCTTGACGGACTCAGCCGGTGTTTCCCCACACAAACGCAGGAGGCGAGGGGGGAGAGAAATAGAAAGGGGAGAAGCACCGAGATTCAAGGTTTCCGGGGCTGAACTCCGGCCAGTTGCGGTGGAGAAAGAAAAGAGAGAAAGACGGGAAGGAGGGGAAAAGAGAGAGAGAGAAAGAGGAAGAAAAGAGGAAGACGGGATGAGAGATTAAGGATGGGTACCTTACCTTGGGTTGCCGGCGGTGGTGCGGGGCGGCTGTGTTAATGGCAGAGAGAGGGGGTGGGTAATGAAATTTAATTTTTAAATATTCAATTATTACATTTTACTTTATAAATATTTTATGTGTATATATATAGGCACAAATTAAATTTTAAAGTAATAATGGGAGGTAGAATAGGACGAAGGGCGTATTCGGTAAGCTAAGATAACACAAAAATCCCAAAAACCATGGAATACCCAAAGATCTTTTGTTTTTCCACCCCTACACACACCCACACAACCACACCAGCCGATATCATCCAAAAGCGGTGAATACACGCCTTGCACATGCTTCCTTCTCAATAAACCCTCTCTCTGTGGATCGCTCTGTTTTCCTAATTTCTTTCCCTTTAAAAATTTCACACAATTTCGCCAACCACTCATTTTATTTCCTTGCCCATAGCTCAAGCAAAAACCCTAAAACGTAATCGAACCGTAATTCTCCTTTCAAAATTGGTGTTTTTTCTAAAAAGCAGCATTTGCATTCGAATTCGAGTTCAAATTCAAAATCCGACCATGGGGTAAAGAAGAAAAAGAAGATATATAGGCGCGATGGAGTGGGACAGTAACTCGGATTTGAGCGGAGAAGATGATGATGTGATTGAGGAAGAAGTCGAGGACGATTTAGATGAGGATGGGGAGAAGCTAGGGTTTATGTTGAGTGGTGGCGGTGCGGCCTTGCCTTTCCCTATTGACTCGCTTCTGCAACCGGCGCCCTGTGGTTTTGTTGTGACCGATGCTTTAGAGCCCGACCATCCGATTATATATGTCAATTCTGTCTTTGAGATGGTCACTGGTTACCGTGCTGAAGAAGTCCTTGGCCGCAACTGGTAATTTTTTTGTTTTTCTACTTTGTGTACTTTTAAGTATAATTATCTATAGCTTCATAGTTTGTTGTATATTTGTTTTTTTCTCTTTGATTTTCAGAATTTTGTTTGTTAAAACTTCATTTTAATCAAGCTTATAGGGAATTATAGCTACTAAAACCTACTGATACCAGATTAAGTTAGGATATACATTTTTTTTTATTGACGGTGGTGACCATGCCTACCTCCCCACCAGCACAGCCCACCAAGGCCTAGGCAAATGGTTATTTGACTGCTTGGGATCTGAACTTGAGACTTCATGGTTCTTATCCCACTTCATTGACCCTTGGGAGCTAGTTACAATATGCATATTGTAGCGTGCATCAGTGACTTTTATGGTTTGGTGCCCATTGTAGTTAGTTTTTGTTAATGCATAATATAAATTTAGCGTCTTAGACTAAATGTTTAGCTGCAAATTTGCAACTTAATCTATTATATGTGCAGTTAAATTTCAAGCGATTGAATTAAAGCATGACAAATGTATCAAGTTATGGGAATGATAATTTAGGTTGTGTTTGTTTCGGCAAGGATTGATAAACCAGTTGAGTCAGATGTAGTTAATTTCTACTGCTTGATTCTAAAGCGGAGAAAGATTAGGTCATTAGGAGAACGCTATGCAAATTATTATGCTTTTTTTTTCTTCAGTAGATAAGTAAAGTCTACTTGTATGCTTAAAAGAGAGAACTATAGGTTCCATGGCGTTTACCAGCTATTACTGTGCGGACTGACTTAACTTTTAGTTAACCTTTTTTTTTTGGTTTATACCTTTGTTACAACNGTAAAATCTAGTACAAAGGTGTACTAGGTGTTTTTTGATGAACTAAGTATTTTCATAGAAAGGTGTACTAGGTGTTCTATCTTGAAGCAATAGCCGCTTACATCTTTTGACTTATAGTCCGTTTGGCCAAACTGCAAAAATAAGCTTATTTTGAGAAGTGCTTTTTCTCAAAAGTACTTTTGCTGAGAAGCAGTTTGTATTTGGCTAATTAATTTGAAAAGCATTTCTGAGCAGCAATTAGTGTTTGACCAAGCTTTTAAAAACTGCTTCGAAGTGTATTTATTTCAAAAGTACTTTTCAAAAAAAGTGCTTTTGGAGAGAAGTTACTTTTTTTCTGCTTCTCCTAAAAAGCACTTTTTTTTCTTCCAAAGCTTGGTCAAACACTTCAACTTTGAAAAAAAAAATACTTAAAAAAAAAGTGCTTCTAGAATTGGAGAAGCTTGGCCAAACAGGCATTAGAGAAATGATGGGACTAGTGAAGACCTGGTATTGTCACATTTGGGAATTCAAGGGAAAATGCAACAGAAGAAAATGGAACACCAATGCTGATCAATGGCAAAGGGAAATTGAAAAATACCTTTACCTTTGTGGGAGTGTTTCAATGCCTGATTCCATTGTGGAGTGTTTCAATGTCTGATTCCATTCTTTGTATTTCCATATCCTGAAGAATCATAGGCTTGTGATGGTCCTTAAAAAGGTCTCTACAAGGCAAGTGAACCTTGAGGCACAATTCATAGTTGGATCATATCCTTAGACATTTATTTCAGGTGCTGGGCAGCTCTAAAAGTTCAGGACTTTAACAATTGTAAGTCAGAGTAATCAAAAGCGAAAAGCATAAAGAAGTGCCAATGGTGCTGAAGCTTTAAGCGCAAAGTGCAACTAAAACTTGGGCTTTAGCGAAGAAAAACATCAATGAAGAAAAATAAAAAAATAGAAATTTAAGGCAAGAAAATGCAGCTATAGACACAAATAATAATTATTTGGATAAAAGAATGAAGAAACTATAATTAAGTTGTTCCTCTAAGTCGTTAAGCACTTATGTTGTCATTTAACAGAAGTAACATCAAATTGAAATTTATACTTTAATATGGGAGACTGTCTTTTGAAATAATGATTAAATTTAGGCCCAACGGCAACTTCCAAATCTCCAACATTGAGCTTATGGTAGAAGTACATTTTGGCCTAAATCTTGATAAATTTTAGTTGTTCTAATGGCAATTACACACTTGAAGATGTGCTTATTCATCAAAAGCATAACTCCTCTAGATGGTCTGTATATATCTTGTGGCAATTAGCAAAAATATTGATCACCACATAAAATGCAAAAAATGGAGCTATCCTCTCATTTTTGGATTTTATTACATGTTTGCAGCCTAAGTATTTGTCTTCATGTTGTGACTGCAGAAAAGGGAAACCTATAATATTCTTGATTTACAACATTCTAAAATCAGTTCATATACGAATCCTAGAAGGAAATGTCATTTTGGGGGATTAAATGACTTAGAAGTTGGTTTATCCTTGAAAACATTAACCAAGCAAATTTCCCACCACCATGCCTCGGCCCCACCCCCAAAGAAACAGAGAAAAATAATGATTCCCCTTGTTAATGCTATTTTTTCCGTATCTAGGATAGGGCAATCATTTTTTTCTAAATTGTAGTTCTGGCTGCTAAAGTTGCTGGTTTGTAACTTATCTTTGGTTAAAGTTCATCCTAGGCAGAGTGGAGATTGGATGAAGTGCTTGTGTATTTTCTAGGTGCTGCTTAGACCTCAAAATTTCTTTAATATTGCGGATAAAGTTTTTGAGTCCTGTCTAGATCTAGTGGATGGTTGAGAACCCAAATGGAAAAATTGAGGGGCAATGCATAACTTCTGATGTTTTTTTGAGCACAAGGGAAGTTCTTCTATGTTTTCAACTCATAGCAAAATTTAGTGCCAACCGTTTTTGTTTTGATTTTGCATTAACCCTTTTCTTTTGGAAACAAAAAAAAGGGCAGCCTGGTGCACAAGGCATCCTGCATTCACGCAGGGTCGCAACCCAAGGGTGTGATGTAGACATCCTACCCTAATGCAATTTAACAAGTACTATGACATGTTTAAGACCACAAGTTTCAAAAGAATTTGAGCCACACAAATATTACAGTTTGTTTATTATCTCAACCTCCAACGGTCTTTATTTCTTTGTTAAACTATATGCCAAGTCAAATAGATTCACATAAACGGAGGGAATATCTCAATAGGGTGTATGATTGGATCGTGGGAATTAGTGTTGGAGTGTAACCTGGCGATGGATTGAACTAAATTCAGTGGCAGTAATCTGCGCAGGTTTAGTGGCAACATTACATTTGATTTGGAAGTTCTTAAAGTTCATCTCCTTCACCAAGGTTGCACTTATTAAATTGTCACAATCAGTTCCATCAGCTACCAAAGCGCACACTCTTCACCAAATCCTACACCTAGTGTAGAAATATTGTGTCTTTGTGTCAATTCTTCTTCTTCACCCTAAGACTCTTCTAATCATCAACCCTTCATTTACGTCCTTATCTTTCTCAATTCCTTTTTCAACCAAGCAGCCATATGCAACATTAACATCGCCTTAGATTACCTACACTTGGTTCCTTAATTTTTTTTTGATAAGGTAAATAATGAGAAAACCCCGTATACAAGTCGTATACCAAAAAGTAAAGAACCTACACCAAAATATGGCTTTCTACAAAAGAAAATCACCTTTGATTATTTACTCTTGGTCCTTAATTTCTCTTGGTTCCTTAATACCTCCTTTACAAAAGAATCATCTTTTTCCAATGGAGTTACATCAACACATAAGTCAATCTCATCCTCAAGTAAATACAACTTCACAAGTGGAATCACATGTAAATATTCCCAATGAGTCAATACCACATTTATCATGATTAGAATCCACACCTTTAAATGAACTACTCACACATAAGGAAGCTTCATTCTCCAATTAATTACAGGGCACACTTTGAAAAGCATTGTCACAAGAAAAAATATTTAGTGTAGCCAAGTTACCTTGATCTTTCCCTATGAGCTTTATATTTACCTTCGTCACATTAGAAGCTTGGGATGGGGTACTTTTGTTGTAGCATAAGTTTCTTTGTAGTTGCCAAGGATGCCTCTAGAATCATTTGAAGAACCTTTCACATCAATCTTCAATGACTTGTCTTCAACTCGTGATTTGGGAGACTTACCACGGCTAAGCATTTGTTTCAAGAAATTTTCCCTTTGATTCTTTTATCACATGTTTCTTGGGCCATTCCATCTTCTCATTTGTGCTCTTACTATATTCAAGCTATTCCTTAAATGTACGTTCTTTACCCTCCTCAATGTTTACTCATTGATGTTACTTCTTCCTTGCTCCTCAAGTGTAACTCATGAGAATAACATTCTTAATTAGAGTCATCTCATGATCTATTTGAATCCTCACTATTATATCCCCACCTTTCAACTCCATGGCCATCCACACAAATAGGTATCGTCCTTTATAATCATTGTGGAGTATACTTTCTTGCTTATTGCTTTACTCCTCCCAACTCCATAAAAACACGTACCTCCTAACTTCCTTGAATCTGTAAAAGACGTGCGTTAAAACAAATAAAATTGGTTAGCATCAAGAAGGACTTCACAAGTTAGTCACTTACATGTATTACCCAAGTATTTGCACTCAAGATCATATTATTTACTCTCTTAAACTCACCGCTCTTGCTTGATACCAATTGACGATGGAAAATAATCTCACGGTGTTTCAAGCAAATTGATGGAGAACCTAACAACCCTCAAGAATGCCTTTGAAAATGAAGAACATAAAGATAAATGATAGGTAGGATAAGACCAATTAGATTAGAAATGACACTATCAAGTAATTGGAGACTTGATTCCTTGTAATCACAATCTAATGACCTAATCCAAATTTGGGGAAGAAAGAATGGAGGAACCAAGCTAATGAAGCAATTAGCTAACCACATGCAAAGTAACTTGAAACCCACTAATTAGCATTCAGATACAAGGTTTAATCCGAAGGAGGAAGAAAAGTAAACTCATACATTGAAAACTTGCTAGAAGAATCTGAGTTGAGGTTCAATTGAAGATATAAAGGTGAATTCCACAAAAGGGTTCTCTCATAAGAGAATTCGTCATCAAAACATCATAAATTAAACCCTAACCTGAAAGACTTACTCTTTCTATGGCAAGGTAATGGGCCAAGCCCAAATATAAAGTAGATCCTAAATAATTTCGTAGACTGTGTGACCCAAGAAGGGTGGCCATGTGACACAAGTGATTTGGTCATTATAATAATAATTTCAGAAGTTCAAGAGCTAGTGAACTTATTCAATGTCTTGGTCAAATGTGTCAAACCCTTTCCAACCTTCAGTCAAACTTGGTCAACTCGTCGTTGAGTCCTCTGGTGTTCTTAAATGGTGTAAACCATGACCATGTTGTTGTCAGGGAGAGAGAGCAAGGTTGATGGACACTTTTGAAAGATATAACAGGTTAGTTGATATCTTTGCCTTGAGCTTGGTTCAAATGGCGTTGGGGCCTTCTGTTAATGTTGAGCTAAGTTGAGCCTGAGACAAGTTGGGCTAGGGTAGCTAACTATTCACTAAGACTAAGCCCTTGTTGAAACTGCAGCTGTGTCAGTAGTGATCTTGATCAATCGTTCAAAGGATAGTTTTTACATCCTCACATTCCTAAAATTTTCTTATGCGATTTCTCTTGGGGTGCCGGAGTGAACTGAAATAAGTTCAAATTTCTCCTGTTTGATTGTTTCCAAAAGCAAATAAATGGTTCTTAACAGTTGATGAACTTTTTCCTTCTGAATTATAACCTCCTAACTGGTTTGACATATATTGGAAATATTCCTATGGGTGTCAAATGAAACAAGGACTGGTCTTCACCTGATATTAAAAGATAATATGGGTCTAGTTGACTTAGCCATCGATTTGTTACATGAGAATAGTGATCCATAAAACCAATCAAAAAGGTACTGATCTATAAAGCTTATCTAGAAAAGAACACTAACCCATAACTTGCGTGTTTTGCTAAAGTTTTAGTTTGTTGCAGAAAATAGATGTATAAGACTGGTGGTGTTTACGTTACTAATCTTTAGGTTTCAGTGTTACATTATGACATGTTTTCTATTTTCCCATTTTCTTGGTCACTTCGATTTTCCTCTTTTAAGGGTGGGTAGACACGGTAGTATTTAGGATGAGAGGAATGAGGACATATTCACACTAATCTTACAAAAATAGGATTAAGTACGTTAATGTTGGGAACTATGAAATGGTATGTGGATGAGTGCTGAGGCAGGGTCAGTGAGGATCTAGAAAGTGTGAAGAAGTTTTTTGTTTGGAACTGCCTTTATATTTAAAATCTTCTTCTATTCCCAGTTTGCCACAGATTATCCTGTTGAAAACCAACTCTGTTGCATCTTGCTTCATCTATTTTCTTAAGAACCTGAATCAGGTAAAGCTTAATTATCTTTATGGTTATCATTCCCCAAACTGATTTTCTGCTACGAAGACGTGGGCTTTCTTGTGTGCAACAACAACTTCACTTTCTTGTGTATTTGGATGATAATTGTCTTTTCTTTTTCTGCAATAATACAATTAACTGCAGCCCTCCAAATGCCAGCAGCACATAAAATAAAAGAAAAAGAAAATAAAGGAAGTTGTCATAAAGAAAACAGGGAAAAGGAACATCTTTTAGTAAATGAAAGAAGAGAAAAGTGTTGGGGAAGAGGTATGTGTTGGAAATCAAAAGGGTTGTAGGATTCTGAGTCACTTGCTTAGTGCTATCAGTGTACATTATAAGCAGCTGTTAACGTCATGATTCAGATGTCCACGTGGAATGCCGAATGCAGCTATACAGTGAATCGTCTTAAATTCTGACTGATTATTTCTACTTTTCTCAGTAAATGTGGTGTCTCTTCATAGTTGTGAAAGGACTGAGGGTACGTTTGGTTACAAGTATTAGGCAAATAATCCATGTATATAAATCTGTATTGGATTTATACTACGTTTGGTTACCACTTCAATTTTGGTATAGCTAATACCTATATATTTTTTGTTGATGAACTATCTGTGATTTAACTGTACGATAATTTAGTGAGAAATGCAAGAAGTACAAGAATATGCAGTTGGGATTTTATCTATTCACCATAAAGATACAAATAGAACAATTTAGAACACGGAGACCACCTGTTGTTGCATAACTAAATACAGCTACTTTCTGGATCGCTTCCATTTCATCCTAATGGAGAGGAGGGGGCATGGCAACGGGTAGTGGAGAAAGAAGTGAAATAGGGTTTCCATTGTCTACTATTCTGTCGCAATTTTAAAAACTTGAATCTGGATTTTCAATCTAATTTGGGGCAGTAGATGAATTCTCAAAGGTGAGAAGCTTAGAAGAAACATAGGGGTAGAAATGGAAGGCAAAAGAATTTGGCGAAGAAGAAAGCCATGATTCTCGAACCTTAACTCTTCTTTTCGTTTTTTCCCAAAATGGGCTGGCGGAGAATTCTCTGGTCGTGACCAAGGACATTGTTAATATAAATATAGCGGGGTGTTGATTATTCTTTAATCCAATTAAATGAAATAGAAAAGCCCTACACAAGTTCAAGGGTATAATTGTAAACAAAAGTTTATACATTTTTAGACCAAATACAAGTCCAAGTTATACATTGTATTTCTGAGTTTTAATACAACGAACCAAACGCTCGATGAAAAATAATCTCTGCATTACAATACCAACATAACTAATCCATATATTTCAATCCCTTTATAACTTCTTACTAAAGCAAATGACCCGAGTGTTTATTTTGTGCCTGCTTTATCTTTTATAACCCCTGTTCACATAACACTCATTCTTACGCTATTTTTTTCTTCTGGGCAGTCGCTTCTTGCAATGTAGAGGCCCGTACGCCAAACGAAGGCATCCTCTTGTGGACTCAACTGTAGTAGCAGAAATTAGAAGATGCATTGACCAAGGGATTGAATTTCAAGGTGAATTGTTAAACTTTAGAAAAGATGGATCTCCTTTGATGAATAGACTGCGTATGACCCCTATATATGGGGATGATGAAGCGATAACTCACATTATTGGTATTCAGTTCTTCAAGGAAGTAAATATTGACTTGGGTCCACTTCCAGGATCCTTGGTAAAGGAGCCTACAAAACTACTGGATAAGTACCGTTCTAGCCTTTCTTCTAGTGGACCAGTCTCAGAAGGAAACCGCACTATCAGTCGTGGGTTTTGTGGTATATTGCAGTTGAGTGATGAAGTCCTAGCCCTCAAGATTCTTTCACGGTTAACCCCGAGAGATATTGCGTCTGTTGGTTCTGTTTCTAGAAGACTTTATGAGCTCACAAAAAATGAAGATCTTTGGCGAATGGTCTGTCAAAATGCATGGGGTAGTGAAACAACTCGTGTGTTAGAGACGGTGCCGGGAGCTAAAAGATTGGGTTGGGGTAGATTGGCTAGAGAATTAACTACTCTAGAAGCGGCAGCATGGAGGAAGCTAACTGTTGGAGGTGCTGTTGAACCTTCACGTTGCAACTTCAGTGCATGTGCAGTAGGGAACCGTGTTGTACTCTTTGGTGGAGAGGGGGTCAACATGCAACCAATGAATGATACTTTTGTATTGGACTTGAATTCCAGCAATCCAGAGTGGAAATATGTCAAAGTCAGCTCTCCTCCTCCTGGACGTTGGGGGCACACACTCTCTTGTGTGAATGGATCTCATCTTGTTGTGTTTGGAGGCTGTGGAAGGCAGGGCCTCCTGAATGATGTCTTTGTGCTGGATTTGGATGCCAAACAACCAACTTGGCGTGAAATCTCTAGTTTGGCGCCTCCGCTTCCAAGATCTTGGCACAGCTCCTGTACCTTGGATGGTACCAAGTTGATAGTCTCTGGTGGTTGTGCAGATTCTGGTGTGCTTCTAAGTGATACTTTCCTGCTTGATCTGTCTATAGAGAAGCCTGTGTGGCGTGAGATACCGGTGACGTGGACTCCACCTTCTCGTTTGGGCCACACGCTGTCTGTTTATGGAGGCAGGAAAATACTTATGTTTGGGGGTCTTGCCAAGAGCGGTCCTCTGCGTTTTCGATCAAGTGATGTATTTACCATGGATCTCAGCGAGGAAGAACCATGCTGGAGATGTGTTACAGGAAGTGGAATGCCTGGTGCCGGAAATCCTGGAGGCGTTGCTCCTCCACCAAGGCTTGATCACGTGGCAGTAAGTCTCCCTGGTGGCAGAATTCTGGTCTTTGGTGGGTCCGTTGCTGGTCTTCACTCAGCATCTCAGCTCTACATTTTGGATCCAACAGAAGAGAAGCCTACATGGAGGATATTGAATGTACCTGGTCGGCTTCCAAGATTTGCTTGGGGACATAGCACATGTATTGTTGGAGGAACTAGAGCAATAGTCCTCGGAGGTCAAACTGGTGAAGAATGGATGCTCAGTGAGCTTCATGAACTATCCTTAGCGAGCTCTGCCATATGAATAAAAAGGAAAGGTAATAATCAAGAGAAGGTGTTGTGCTGAATTCACAATGAAAATTTTGCCTCAAGAATAAAGGGAGTCCCGAGCAAACTATTGCAGTGCAGTTTACACATTGCACCAAATGCACAAATGATTAGCAAGTACCCTTGAATTAGTGGCTGTCTTGTTTATTCTTGTGTGGCTCATAGGCCATGTTGATCAGATGGTTCTGTTGAGCTGATGGTCTTAATTGAGCTTAATTTTGCAGGTTTGCGTGCAATGATTTCGCTTGATGCACTTGAATTATTCACCCTTTGAAAGCTAGCTGTAGCTTGATAGATCAGTAGGTTATTCTGTATTCTTAGGTTAGTTTGTATTGTGTATTGGATGTGTGTGTTGTTCAACTTCTGTAATTTGAATCCCTTTGGGCAAACATGGAAAAAAAGAAAAAGTAAAGGGAAAAAAGGTAAAGATTTGTAGAACCAGATGCATGGGGGTTTGTATTAGATTTATAATTACCCTTTGCTATGTTTAATAACAGTTCATGCAATGACATGTTTGTTGACTGTTTAAAGCATTTCCAGACTCGAACAGCTTAATTAACCAGCAAGCAAATTGTTTTGAAAAGTCTCTTCCTTGAGAGGATTTTTCAGTTATTGCCCTCTCTCAGTTGTGCGAATGCATATAGGTGGTGTCAGTTGAATGTATTCTTATTATGTAATGTACCAAATTTCTGTGAAAATCTAGAATTTTTCTTAATTTCTTTGAATGAGGTGCAACTGTTTTGCAGTCGTATGTTATGTAAGGTTTTACTTGTAATAGTTTTACTCAGGTATAATTCTTCTGCTGTGTCTCAGCCTTGTTTATGTTTACAGTTTTCATTATTGTAGCTCGTGTAGTATCATAATGGGTTTTTACTTGTAATAGCTTTATATGGTGATTGAGAATAGAATTATATACACGAACTTCTTCTGCGTTTTGTTGGGGAACAAATGGGGGAATACATGTTTATTTTTGTCGGGTTTTCCTGAAGCAGATAGAAAAGTTTCTCTGGGTTGCTTGCATCGTTGTCATTGCCAATTGATTACTTTGATAAACTCAGATTATTTACCCGAGTCATCCATGCTATCGTATAGTAACGCACCAAATGAGAATTCTTAATTTTGTTTTCAAACAGAATGAAGCGTCTTTCACTAAGCTAATAGTAATTCCATGCCAAAATTTTTATAACAACCCGCTACAAACCAAACCATGGCCTCTTACTCGCTATCAAATTTAGTACTACGGATAATCCCATAAGACGTTAAAAATGTACAATGGTATTTTTTGGCAATACAAGTGTGTGTGCGTATATATATACACACACACAAGTGTTGCGGTGTGGGAAGGGGATCTTATATATCTAGAAAGGAGTTTTGATATTTTTTAATGAACTTTTAACTATTACTATTTCTATTGTGGGGATGTGTATAAGAAATAACATAGAATATGTACGGACTAGTCATATCAAAAAGACAAAAGAAAATTTAGCTTAAATGAAATAATGTACATTCAAAGAAATATATTAAAAAGCAAGGTCGAAATATATTAAAAGGCAATGTCGAAATATATTAAAAAGCAAGGTCTATCGCAAGAGGACAGATAACGAGATTCACGATTGGGATTCATTCTTTTCAAACATATACTTTGTTGCTTCTGTGAGTAACCGGCTTGTGGATTAAACACGCTCCTTATGAATAACATCACACCAGTAAATTCGTCTCATATAAGGGACAAGAATGGATGGTCAGCAACAAAGTTTATTTCCTCCTCAATCCTGTAGGAGAGAATAAGCAGTCCAGCAGTAATCAATGCAGGTTCAGTTCCTTTTTCATTTACCTCAAGATGAGCCTTATCGTCTTGTCCACTTTTTCATCACGAGGAATAACCTCTTTCATGAGACCATTTGTCTTCTTTTTAGTCCACTCATTGAATTGATTGCCAGTATCATCAGCCTTGTTTTGAATATCTACAGAACATGATGCAACATTGTAAAAAGAGAGATGGCAGCGTTACGGAATTGACAATATGAGAATAAAGGGAATTGAGGACATAAATGGACTTGGACTTGAGGAAACCTAGCATTACTTTGGTGATTTCAGACATGGAGAGTAATGTTCTATTGATATCACTAGCCTTTTAGGCTAAATAATCAGACATCTTCATTTCACCAATTCATCATAAACTGTAGACAAAGCCAGATAGATTATCTAATGGTAGATGTCCATAACTCCTCAAGAGTGTTCCATTACACTTCTCAATTATGTCCAAAACTTCCACTACTCATTCCTATTATGGTTATGATTCTGTATACCTCAAAATTTGGGTAATAATTAAATTTGTACGTGGTTTAAAGGATATGTGGTTCAATTCAACACAAATAATTAAGAGTAACAGATAAATGAATTAAAGATGAAATAAACGATCAAACCAATCGCAATGTTAAGATCGGGACTGATCTTAGATTGAATAATGAGCTCGCCCTCGATTGGATCCTCGGTTCAAGTCCAGTCACGAATAAAGGACAGAACAAGTGAATAATGTCTTTAACAGTAGCTAGAAGACAAAAGTAAACCTTTATTGCTTTGAATTGCATGTTACAATGTGTCAGACTAAAGAAATTTTTTTTCTTTATATTGTAGGAGAGTTTCAATCCTAATATAAGTCTAAAAAAGGTAAAAATCTTCTTTTCCCGGTAATTGTTGATCCATAATCGACATCGAGCGAGTTTCGCGCCGTGATACTCGGTTGAGGGCGAGCATTACAACCCTCTATCCGTCATGCATAACCGTTCATCGTGTCTCCCGAGGTCTAGAACTTATACTTGGCCCGGGGCGCATCACTTTACCATGTTCGGTGTCGGATATATCGTTCACTCTTCCTGGGTCTCGATACGAAGGGTCTCTGACCTCGATTCATTCCGGCGGATCCGTGCTTCCCCTTCGTTCTCTCATCAGGGAATCGGGGTAGACATTGCCCCCGAGTTTGCCTGTATACAGATAGTCCCCTCATTTTTCAGAGAGTAGATTTATCGAAACGACAGGAAGCGATAAATGAACCCCGGTTCCTTCATTCGTATGTTACAACCGAGATGATGGGTCAATGAAACGTCCCATCAATTGCGTAGTTCTGACTTCGGACACGTGTCAGCCACCGACTGACTGTCCTTGAATGTGAAACATAGAAGTGGCAAACGGGGGGTCGGGTCAGATATGGTTCGGGTCGAAAACATGTAATAAAAAATGGATAAATTATCTGACCCGACCCATATTTAATACGGATAAAAAACGGGTTAACCAGTGGATAATATGGGTAACCATATTATCTATAACTTCTTGAATATGATTACTTTTGGGAGAATTCCTAGTCTTCCAAACTTGAGAAACCCCCAATTTGAGGTTTTACAAATGTAAAAGTTAAACTCATTAGTTATCCATTGATTACCCATTGGTTATCCATTTTTTAAATGGATAATATAGTTCTTATCCATATTTGACCCGTTTTTATAAAGTTCATTATCCAATCCATTTTAGTGGATAATACGGGTGGTTAACTATTTTCTTTTAACTATTTTTTCACCACTATTGAAACGTCACACATTGATTGTCCTTCCGCTATAAAAGCTCCGACCCCTTTTTCACTTCTCTACTTTCCGATTTCAGAGCTTTTCGATTTACACTCGACTCCTCTACTTACCTTTAGCTTCTTCAAATCTTCATACATTGCTCCTTAGATCTTCAAATCTTCATACATTTTCTTTGAATCTTCAACCCAGACCTTCATATCTTTATCCCATCTTCAAATCTTCATATATTTTCTTCAAACCTTCATATTCCGATAATCCGATGGCGAAAACTTCCAAATTCGTGCCTCAGCAAACCGCCCATTCATCTTCCAACCTGACCACAGACGCCGAGGTGGCCATTCCTGAGGTGGCCCATGAGCCTCCTTTGAAGAGCTTTATCCCTAGGGGCTGCTCCATCGAGAATGACTTTAACATCGAGAAGGCCTCCAGTCAACAGGACCGAGGCAAGGAGGACACTACCCACAATTTGGATAGACTGTAACTGGGAGGGCAAGGAGGTGGTCATCCCCGGGCCCAACGAAGACATCACTACTCATGTGAGGAGGTACCTAAGTGTTTATACTTACCCCTTCATGCCCTCCCCAGTGGACCCCATAGTCCTCGATTTCTGCAAAAGGTATGAGGTCTGCCTTGGGCAGATTCACCCATCCTTTTCGAGGAACGTAATCTTCTATCGACACTTCATAAACAACACCAAAGCTCATCAGTTCACCTTTGTCCATCTGCTTCATCTATACAGTCCCCGAATCTTCCAAGGGGAGTTGATCAAGCTCGTTCACCGAGCAAGTAAGGCTCTGTTCTCAAGCATTGATGAGGACCGAGATCGAGGTTGGCAGGGAAGGTTCGTTCGAGTGAAGACTGAATACCTCACCCCTTTGAATTTCTACTGTTCCCGGAAAAGTGAAACGCCTCCCTTAAGTCTTTTCCTTCTCGAGTATTTGGAATTCCCTTTTATTCTTTTTCTAATTGCCTATGTTTGTCGTTATGTAGCTGCTGCCCAGGTTCCTAATGCAGTCTCTTACTTCAAGGAGTGGATTGAGGGTATCTGCAAACAAATGTCTTACTTCGAGCGCATGGCGCAAGCTCTCTAAGAGCAAGTGGGAGGCCCGTTCCCATGGTGAGGCTCTCTCCCGAATGATCACATTCATACACTTGACTTATAAATCGCTAAGTTTTCTTCCTTTTTACAATTTTGCCCAAGAACACCGAGCTCAGGCCGTTGGATGAGGACGAGGATCTATCCTCACTCGCCGAACCCTTCTCTTCGGGAAAGCCCGGGGCTGCTGCAAAGGAGGAAAAGAAAAAGAAGAAGAGGAAGTCCTCAGGCTCCCCGGACGCCAAGGTGAAGAAGAAGAGGGTGACCACCCGGGTCCGGAAAAGCAAAAAGAGCACTAAATCCATGGTACTAGACTATTATTCCCTCTACCGGCTCAAGGATTATCCCGAGGATGACGACCTTGAGTTCATTGCTCATGAGTTGACCCTCAACGAGGGGGAGTAGGCGGCGACCGGTAAAGGTGATCACAAGGTCGATCCCCCTCTAGCTTGGGAACCAGAGGGATAGACAGAGGTCGCAACCTCCCGAGAAGTAGCTCCTGTACCGAAGGAGGTAGCTGGTGTCAATGACATCGTGGAGATGCCTTCCTATACTAAGTCCATTCTCGAAGAGGTTCAAGCGGACAAAGAGAAATCAATAGAGACGGCATGGACATGGCCGCGTTTGAGGACTTTTTCGTGCTTGGTCACTTGGAGGTCCCAAAAAAGGACATGCCATCGGGATCGGGCGAGCGGAGATAGAGCCCGAAACTAGTGAAGTAGTTCCCTACCCCTAGCGGTCGTTCTTACTATCCAAGCGGATGCTCGGGCCCTGTCCGCTCTGGTGGGCCTAGCCAAATACCTTCGTTACCTGGTCATCGAGGAGGACCAGACAAAGATGAATGAATTAAGTACAT